AAAAAATACTAGACAATTTAAGATCTCACTATAGTATATTTAGTTTACAGTTATGAAGTCAACTCATTTGGAAAGGAACTTTTTTCCTTAGGTACTTGGTCTTAATTCTGTTTGTCTTTTGAAAGCATGTTTATAAAGAATAAGTTTCTAATTTTTATAATTCACCCAGACTGGCAATATTCAATGAAATGCCTGTGTCTAGTATGTCCACAGGGAATTAATATTAATATAACATCGAAGGTCATGAACTTTTTCTGTAAAGGGGTAGGTAGATAATAAATATTTTAGGCCTTTGCACGCCGCATGGTTTCTGTTGCAGCTACTCAGCTCTACCATTGTAGCTCAAAAGCAGCCAAAAACAATACTAAAAAAAATGAACAAATGGATGAGTAAAGTGTTTTTGTGAAACTTAATTTACAAAAGGGTAGTGGGCTATATTGGGCCTGCGGCTTGTAGTTTGCACAGACCCCCTGCTGTAAATGGTTATACATACTAATGATTATTTTTATCTACTTCGAGAAATAAAATGAAAGTAGGTGGGAATACAAATAAGACAATTGAGAGGAAAATAAACCCTTTATAGAGCCAGATACACTTTACAATATTTTTCCAAGTTATAGAATTGAAAAGTGTAATTAAAAAGAATTAAATACTCAAGACCATTAAGAGGATATCTAACTGCAAAAGGAAACAACAGGAAATGCTTAGTCAACTTGACACAAGCAAAGATGAGTGGTGAACTTGTAAAATTATGCTTTTGATTATAAGATCCCTGTGATTACAACATGGGAGTAGAGTGTGTGGTCCTTCCACTCTCCACTTCCAAGGAAGCAGGAGCTGACTGACTGAAGCACTTGAGAGGATTTATGTTCAGTAGTCAGAAGCAGCAGAGTTTTACCTCCTCTGCTTATTTTGTCCTACTATATTTGTATTTTTTCTTATTAACATATTTTGCTGTGTATAATGTGTACCTTTTTGCCCAAGTTTGTGAGGGAAAAATAAGGATGCGCATTATACATGGGTAGTACTAATTCTGTATCTATATACATGTTTTGAATTCTTTTATTTATGCTTTTGAGTTAAAAGTATAACGCTACAAATCAGTAATGATATCCACATGCAAAATAATACCCTGGAATACGATAATCGGTTTTATTGAGTTTACAATGAACTTGCAAGGATGAAGAGTTCTTGGCCTTCTATGATGCATAAATATCGTAAATTTGTTACCAGTACATAACATTTCTTTTACCTTGTATCTGTTCTTGTGTTTCATAATTATTTGTTACATAAAATTTCTTGTACCATAATATGTTAACAAATAAATGCTAAAATTCCTTTATAATACAAAAAACAAGTATCTAAATGTAAACAAAAATTTGAATTAAAAAAATTAAAATGAAAGGATTTTTCCCTGAAAGTTTGAGCCAAAAACATGGGTGCACATTATACACGGCAAAATACGGTACTTATTGGAAAACAATTAAAAAAAATTTTTTTAAACCTCAGAATATCTTCATAAGATAATGGGCTAGATTTGGTCATTCATCTGAGAAATTTAGAGATTGTGTTAAAATAGATAACAAGCATAATCATGGCGTAGTATTTTCAAAAAATCATTGAACTATATAGTCAGTTATGAAATAATTTTTGAAGTGCTGTCTTATGTTTTATTTTGGAAGAGTATGTAATAAATATTTTAAGTGGATGACAAATGGCTGCATCATTTGACTTAAGTAGGATTTTGACAATTTCCCAGAGAAGTTGGAAGTAAGTAATTTTATAATGGATTGAAAAATTCTTCTGGATCATTTTGGAAGTAAAAATTGGTAACGGGTTGAGTGTGACTTTGGTTGTTATCAATCATCTAGTGGTAAACTTAGGAAAATATCACTGTAAATAGGTTCCTGCAAATTAATATATATTTCTGGTTTAAAAATGTAACTTTATTAGCATTCATAGGATATAATTTAAAAGCAGTTTAAAATTGGTTTTTGTACTTTATTTCCCTTCACTTTTTAATTTAGCTTTGATCAGCTTATCACAATACAGTTGTTAAGTTTTGTGCCTTGGGGTCACACAGTATTTGAATTAATATGTACATGTGGAAATTCTGATTTTGTTTTTTAAAATTCTTGCTGTGATACTGACACATCACTACCTTTTTATTTATCTATTTGAATTACGTGTCTTTTATGTCTAAAAAGTATCCATTGGAATTAGTGGGTCAAAAAGCCCTATGATAAGTGATCATTAGGAAAACCTGTTTAAAAATTATTAATGTATAATGGAATTATGTAGGTCTTCCATTCTTGAGGAGTTAGTATAACTAAAATATTTTTGTGTAGAACTTGGCTCTACAAAAAGTATTTGAGAACATTAGTGATACAGTAAAACCTGAGTACTTTAGAGTCAAGCGATTTTGTCTTTAAGTTCTGTTTTTGTTTTTTGACTCTTGTGATTGACTTTCATTTAATTTTAAAGTAGTTTTGTCCTTTGGCTAAAGAAAAATTGCCTACCTGTGACCATTATACTGAAAATCATACTAAAATATAAAATGAAAAATGTCTAGTAACATGGCTTTGAATCATAAAGGGAAATGATATGAAGTCAATCCTCACTTTTCACAGATTTCATATTTGTGAATCCTGGTTGCTAAAATTTATTTTTAATCCCAAATTAATATTTTCAGCGCTTTTGCAGTCATTCATGGACGTGTGCACAGTAATGAAAAATTTGAGTTGCCTGATGTGCATGTTCCCAGCTGAGGTCAAACAAGGTGGTGCTCTGCCTTCTTGTTTGATCTCTCATACTGTAAACAAGTGTCCTTTTCAAATTCTATTTAGTGCCACATTTTTCGCATTTCTATGTTTCTAGTGGTGACTTTGCTGTTTAAAATGGCCCTCAGCAGAGTGCTAAAGTGCTGCCTAGAGTTCCTAAGATGATGGTGCTATCATGTGCCTAACAGAAAAAAAAATGTTAGATTAGCTTCATTCAAGCATGAGTTAAGAGAGTTGGCTGTGAGTTCAGTGGTAATGACTCAACAATATATACATTAAATAAGATACCTGTAAACAGAAACACACATAAAACAAGGTTATGTATTGATCAGTTGGCAAAATGTTGTAACTAGAGGCTGAGGAATCCAACCCTTCTTAAGAGCAATTGGTTCAATAGTCACTAATTCAATATTCTTGGTGACTTTATAGAACACAACTACCATGAATAACAAGAATTGACTATAATATTCTTAAGTAAAAGTCGATTTCCAGATAAAAGTTACATGCTGTGTGTGTTATTACATCTTGTCATTTTGTTTGCTTGCAGTGGATGTTGAAGTCCTCAAATGAGTTTGTGCCCAAATGTTATAAAACAAAATTTAGTATGAACCTTAAAGTATAATTCATCTTCTTTATTTTTTTTAAATGATAATATTTGTTACATGTTGTAGCACTTAATTGCCTTCTTCTAGACTCAGGAAGATTTGTATGGTGAAATAATATTGATACAGAATTAATAAATTGAACTGTCATAATTTTCTATTTTTAATTCTATTCTATTTTTAAAAGGCAAAGTAAGATTATAAAAGACAAGGTGCAGTTAACATGCATAATGTTCGTGTTACAGTCTTCTTTCAGTGGCATTGATGTTAAGCATTGCAGCAACCAACATAAAGTGGAAGAAAAGATCAGTTAAAAGATTTAGTGTCCATAAAAGCAAACCAGCTACTCAAATAATATAGTTATTACTAATACAGACATCAAAAAGGTATGCATTGGGAACCAAAAAAACAATTTTATAAGCAAAAATCTGTATAGAAGCTTAATCAGGCTGTTTTATTCAGTGTCCTCAAAATAGCTTGTGTTATGGTACAGTATCAGAATACAGTTTAGTAAAAGAAATTGCTGATCAGGTTCAAGCATACAGTTTTCTGGTCCTTGGTTTACTCCAGGGAAAGGATTAGACTG